TCAGAGAGGCAAAGCCTGTGTTTGAATGGAAAAGCTTTTCATTTCTTTAAAAAGTGTACCAGCTATAATTATTCATAACTTTACAGGCCTGTTTTAATGTTGTTTTATAATTACAAGTCTTAATGCTAGATTATAGAAAGTCATTTATAAATAGTCAGAACAGAGGGACTTGGGGAGTTTTTAACCTGTAGATTGCTGTGGGTTGCTGTGACGGGATTTTGCCTGTGTATATATGGGGTGAGCTGTGTAATGATTGAGGAATCCCTTAATTAACTCCCAACAAGTTAAGATTTATGGCCTCATATCTTTTTCTCCTGACACATCTGTGTTTGACACTTTGGAAGACATGGATAAGCCCATTTTCAAAAAGCTTTTGTAGGTATCTGAAATGTTTCTGAGGTATTTTGCTTAACGTAACAAGATTAGAGTTTTATGACACAAAATTTATTAAATTATTTTATGGCATGAACAATCAAATTGGAAAGGATGCAGGTTGTGTGCTAGAGGGCACTATCTCCTTGAGTACTGAATACCACTTCAGATTTATTTTGGGAGTACAATCATGGATGAAATTAACCGAAACCAATGAACAAATGGAGATGTAGTGTGGGGGCACTTAAGTGAGGTTCTGTTAAAAATAGTAATAATAAAAAAGATATAGCTATGGATGGATCACTTTTGTGAGACACTGAATTCAAGGGAAAAAGCAACAAGAAAAACAGCAATATTTAGCAGTCTGAAATTATTTGGATGAAACCAATAAGTGGAAACAATTCATGTGGATGTAGTGTAGCTCTTATTTGCTCCACTGGGAAAATCCAGCCATGTAGTCAATGCAAAAACTCTGAGATCAATAGACACAGGGTATCAATTTAAGCCTAAAAAGAGTCTGGTACAAATTGAAGGGCATAAAGAAATATTTGGAGAAGTTGTTGTAATATGAATCACATAAAATACTGGTTGGATAAGATTGAGTTAGAACAATGAAATTTTTACTTCCCTGAAAAAACATTCTTGCTACCAGGAAAAGTATTTATTTAATGAAAATTTAATAAAAAAGCATGTTGGGTTTTTTTAACCGCAGCTTCTGCATATTAAGAAGCCTCTCTGAAAACAGGTCTCTTCACAGGGAACAGGATCAAATCTGAATTCATCACCAGAACTAAATCTTCAGTTCCATCCAAACTACTGATAAGATCAAATATGGAGTTGTATTTCATTATTCCAATGTGTCTGTGGAATGGCCTGGGTACAGCCTGTGTCCCAGTGCATCAGAACCTTGCAGATTTAGGTTCTCTAAAAGATTTCTGCCTATCTGTTTTTATTCAGTAGAAATTATTAATGACATTTCAAAATACAGTTCTTCTTGAAACAATTAAGTTGCAACAGATTTTATCTGCAGTGACACTATCTTTGGAATCTGGTGTGCTGTACTGCTACTTTTCTGAGCTACATCTTAGAGTTTTGGGGGTTTTTTTCTAATCCTATCCATAAATTGATGCTTCCTGTTCCATTGTAAATCCTCTTTCAGAGTGATGTGATTGAAATCCATTCCTAGTTTAAATTTGAGGAAAAGATCTTGAAGTCATGTGAGCTGTGAACTGTTGTGTTATCAATGAGGGTAGATTCAGGATGTTTGCAGTTCTTTGTTAGGATGGGATAATTCCAGTACTTCATTAAGTGTAGATCTGTTTAAAAGAGCTCAGTTTCAGATAATGTTGCTGCTCAGAATTTAGCTGTTTCCCTTTTGTTATTGTTTGTGATGGGAACTCTGCTTTACATCTTAGGTATGGAATCTGTTAAGACCTGTTATTAGCTCAGTAGGATAAACAAGATTTATGAAAAGAAGAGTATTAGAGGATGCATGGTGTGGGGGCATGTCAATTTTGGGAAATGTACCAATCAAGCTGTAGAAATAATTAAAGGCATTTGTAGATGACTTTCTTGTTTCATGTTTTCTACTTGGGAACCTCTCAGAGATTAGATCTTTTGCTACTATAGACTTTGATAGTTACTATCCTTTAGGTAGACATTTCCAAAAGTAGATGTGTCTCAATTAATTTATTTAAATCTTCCATTTTCTTGTGGAAATTTCCTAGATCCTCTTAAGGAGTAAGAAATTTCTGTGAAACTGATGTTGCCTGACTCAGGCTGGCTATGGACAGAGCTGCCTGAAAACAAATTGCATTTGACGTCTCAGCTGTCCAGGTTTGTGTATCCATTTCTTTGGGTGTCCTTGGAAGACTAACACAGATTAAAGTCTCAATTTTGCTGCCTTAGCCATTTTAGTGATTTGTTAGTCTTCTAGGATGGTGACGGGCATGTGGCTTGTAATTTGAACTGGATGTTTTAGAGACAAAAGGAAAAGTTTCTTCTACCATTTCTGCTTTCACTTTAGTTTGGTCTACAATCCAACTTGGACATTTTCATTTTAGATCAAAAGCAAAATAATCTCTATTGTTGCAAGTGTGTGGAGGTGGACACCTCTGTTATCCTCCTTGTCTTTTTATATAAATTCCCTGCAGAAAATTATTTCATCCCTGTTGGGAACAGTGAGAAGCAGAAGATGATGATCTGAAACTCTATATTCGCAGATAAAGTTAACAGAAGAGCTTTATTTCAGTGTGATGTTCAAACTTTCCTTGTGAAGCAATGTGACAGAATCTCTGTTATTCTAGGTTAACAGCAGTAGGAGTTCTTGACACAGTTTGAGTGTATAATATATAATCCAAATCATCAATATAAAGCAAGGCATCCTCTCTCTCTGTAATTTATTGTCAGAGTGAATTGCAGTGGAGACTCTTGTGCATGGCTTACAATATTTTCAGTCATTTTATCAAATATAAATGTTCTAAAGTATAGAAAATTACTGTGGAATAATTGAGTAATTATCTTGGGTCTGTCCCTTTTTGTTTGCCAAAACTGAGACAACTGCTTAGTGCCGATTTTCAGAGAGATTTTGTTAATGCTCAGGCTTCTATTAAAGTAGTGTTAAAATGAGTAACCAAAAAACTTAAATTCAATAGCAAGTGTCGATCTTAGTGCAGTACAATGCAAAATATGAATAATTCACATTAACTTGAGAAGGGAGTCTTGTGGTTTCTGCAGAAGGGTTTGAGATCTGTCATGTCAGACATAGCTGTAAAATGCTGAATTCAGCGGGCTAGTAGAAAACTGCCAGTAAGAGTCTATCTGGTGATCTCTGTCTTTGTACATATGCTTTGCTGCAGGCACGTAGGTGGGAAAGCCTAGAAGACAGAATTCAGGTAGCATGTATGAAGTGTTAGTCTGTTGGACTAAGTCAAACATTAATAGAAAATACAGATTGGTTCTCTAATAAGTGGTGTTCTGAACAGGCAATGTGCAGCTGCATATAAGTTCTGGTTGGGATTTTTTTTGTCTGAGTTTTTGTTGTTGGTTTTTCTGGTTTTTTTTCCTTTTTTTTTTTTAATATAATCTCAGGAGGCAAGGCTCAAAATGAGATCATTAGAAGCAAAATAAGTCTTAACAAAGGGCTGTTTAAAGTCACTGTTTGTTTTCAGACCCAGTTGACTGCTACTAAGAACCATTCCGTGCTCAATATGCCAAATCGTATGGACATGCTCCACCTCACAGCAGCCCCACATATGGTTCAAGTAGCTGAATGCAGTCCTTTAACTGTGGAGTGGAAAATAAAAGTTGGGATAATTAGAATGCTAAATACGAGATTTTTGAGGAGAAGCAATATTACTTCAGCCCCTTCTTTTAACTTTTGCATACAAATAGTCTTCAGTTTCCTTGTTGATAACTCTATTTTTTTTTCCCATTAAACATTTCCCTGTTTCGCATTTCTTCTTTTGGCTGTGCCTTGAGGGTTTCTCTTCATTCTTCTCCTTGCAGATTCCCCTGGTTAGCACAGGGCCATCCATGGATGTACCCTGATTTTCATGGACAAGGTTGCTGGTAATTAATCCCAGGATTTGTCTTCATTTTAAGACTTCACTGTACCCCTCTCTATTTTGGAGAACAAGCTGGAAGCATTCTGGGTCCCATAAGATTTTCGGTAGTGCTTGGCTTGAATGATACTTGAATTTGCCCATGATTTAGGTTTCTTTCAGTGTTTCTAAAAGTTGAAGATAAACATATCCTATCAGACCTTATCAAAAACTTCACAATGTAGGTCTGAATTTCAAATCAATATTTCTGTGTGGTTTTTACAACGTGTGCTCTAGGTATCTTCCTTGTGTATCCTTTTTAATGTAGTTACAGATACAAATTACATTTTCATGGGGTTTTTTTCTGACTAGCTAGAGATAGGAATCATCTGATATATAGCTGGAAAGATTTGATAGCAGATCTGCATTTAATCCTGATCTTTGTTCAAAGCACCTGACTTTATGTTGTCAAAAAGCTTAGGTTATTAATGTCCAAGTGTTTAATTGCTTAACTATACCAGATCTGGAACCCTGGAAAGATCCTTGCAACATGACTGTAACACTCAGTTGCTCACATGGGTGAAATTTTGTAAACACAGACGTTTTAGTTTGCTAGCAGGTTCTTTTATTGTATTGTATTTTATTTTACTTTATTTTTTTTTATCAGTTGTGGTCGATAATGAGATGCAGATGATTATTCCTTAAAAGCTAAGTTGACAATAGCTTGTACCGGGAGACATTCTATCTTCATAGAGTCCCTTGCAAATGCAAAACTAGATGGGTATTTTTTTAAAGGAATTGCATTTCATTATGCAGTCTTAGGTGAATTTTCATGTTTAAGAAGCCAGAATACAAGAGAGTGCTATATGAGTGTATTATTCTCATAACAAATAAGGCACTGTTCTGTTGCTACCTGCTTGGCCATTGTTCCCAATTGTGTATGCTTTGCAGTGGTATTTGGATGGTTTCCTGCTCTCTGCCAGCACAAAAAAGGCATTTCTGTTACAATGGCCCCTAACCACACAATGACGGCATTAAGGATTTATTTGGAGGTTTCATTATTTTCTCCTCTTTTGTTCCTTCCAGGATGTCTTCCAAGCGACCAGCCTCTCCGTATGGGGAAGCAGATGGAGAGGTAGCCATGGTGACAAGCAGACAGAAAGTGGGAGAAGAGGAGAGTGACGGGCTCCCAGCCTTTCACCTTCCCTTGCATGTGAGTTTTCCCAACAAGCCTCACTCTGAGGAATTTCAGCCAGTTTCTCTGCTGACGCAAGAGAACTGTGGCCATAGGACTCCCACTTCTCAGCACAACACAATGGTAGGTTTGCTTATGCTCTATTGTGCTTAACATCCATTCCTTGAGTTCTGCCTCTGCAGTGGTTTGGCATCCAGATTTGTACTTTATGGAGTGTACAATGCGCAGCCACACGTACAGAACATGCCACAGTCGTGTGTCAGCTCTGACCTGGCTAGGCTGCCTCTGCTCTCCACCACAAGTGCTAAATCACTCGCAGTGCAGACTTCTCCTCACCTTTGCCCGATGGCATTTAGGGTGCTAAAAATTTGTTAGCTGCACTGATGTGAGTTGGAAGTGTATGTGTTCAGCAAACAGCAAATGGGTTTGGAACACTCAAAGTGAGAGTCATGTTTGGCATGGAGTCTGAAACATCACCCTGATGCCAAGTTTGTGCAACAGTAAAGCATGAAAGACTGTATAAAGGAAAAAAAAATAAATAAATTGAATTTTGATGACTTAAAAACTTATATCTGACATGTAATTCAAGTCACAGATACCCACAGTAAAATTTACTGTGCTTATGAAATTAAATCAATGTACTGCTTTTTGGCTTGTGAATTTCCACTCTAGAGCTGATACTGAGCACTTAATTCATGGTGTGCAGCAGGCCAGGGGAAGCCCAGAACTGGCTGCATCTTAAAGAGCACAAAACAAATGTTCCTTGCTAGTGTTATAGTGTCACTTTACAAGTTTGGGCCCTTCCCATGGAGTACTGATACATTTTCAGAAAGGCTGAAGGGTGCTGGGGAAGGAGACCCAGGACTGAGGCACTTGGACAAAGGTCTGTTGTGAACACGCTTGCGCAGCCCTTGCCTATTTGGCTGTAACTTAGACCCCCACTTTGACTGGGGCACTGGTAATTTCTCTAGAAGGGAAGATAATAAGTGGACCTGCATATTTGAAGGCTTTTAAAAAGGCATTGCAAAATAGGTGGTAGTGTATTCTCATAAAAGCCTGCAAGACCTCCACAGTGGTATTTAAGCCCTTACAACTCATTATGCATATGTAACAAGCCCTAAGTAAAAAGCCTTAGGGATTATTATTTCTCATAGGACCAAGCCACTGGATATTAACTGAAGCTGCTCTCCTAGACAGAATAACTCATTGATGCTGATCCATTTTCCTTCCATTTTTGGGCTAATGCTTAAGCTCAGACAGTGGTTTGGAATACATAATTTTAGTTTGTGTTATTGCAACTTTACATGAAGAAAGAACATCACTGAAGAAATTACTCATGGGCAGACAATGTCATTATCTTTTTCAAGCTTGTTTACTTCTCATACTTTATCTTAAGTTTTATGGAGATGAAATTCATTACTGTAACAGTTCCAGCCAGTGAGATGTTAGGGTATGTAACTAATGTATGGGCTTTGCTATATTGTGGCCTATTTTAAGATAGTGTTTTGGAGATAAGGAATTGTTTCTGTCAGCATTTAAGTCATTAGATAAACTTGTGATGGCACCAGTAGTGTAGAATCAGGCACTAGTGAAATAAAAACATACAGTTTTCTAAGGAGCCCAGCAGGAGTATTTCAGCTACACCTCACTGGAACTGCTCTTTAACTGATTTTAGGTAACTTCTCTGCTTCTTTATTAATTTATAGTGTTTAAAAACAAGAGTTTTAGCTGGTCATCTAGTGTAACTTCCTGCTCTGAAGGCTGCATTTAATGTGATATCAGAACAGTGTTTTCTGTCTTTTTATAGTACAAGATACTGAATCATGGGGTGTTTCTTAGATAGTTTTGCTGTAATGACACACTGCAGGCTTACCTGAGGCAGTGTTTGGGGGGTTGTGAGGGTCTAGTTACGTCTTCATACATATTTAAGATTATTGCCAGTATGTATGAATGTAACATTTTGGTAATATCTCTCTTTTAGTGAGGACTGTGTTGTAAAAATCATCACTCAGGTAGTTCAGAAAGGATGTAGCCTATGTGTCTCCAGAAGGAAGGAAATGGTTGGTCTAAATGAGTAAAATAGACATAATCACTCCCTCTGCTGCTGTGGTATGTAGTTATCAGAAGAAAATCACAGAATAATATTCAGATTACTTCAATTCTTGTGCTTAGCAGTGACAAAAATCCTTCCCAAAGGGCATTAACTTTCTAATGTTGCAGAGGGAGTTTTTGTACTGTTTCAATTGACATTCTGTTGTTTTGTCATCTCTGGGAAGCAGATCTGGGTGTGTGCAGGTGTGCACACAGCTCCACAGACTGCAGTCTGATAGAGTTTTGTTGATAAAGCTCCAGGAGCTTCACACTTACCAACTTGCACTTTTGAAAATTTACCCTATTGCACTTCCAAGTTTTAATAACTTAGTGAGACAGCTCAGAATTTACCCAGAATTTTTTCTGGGTAAATTGTTATAAGAGGAGGGCAAAATTCCTATAAAGACATCTTCAAACCATCTTCAAATTGGCAAAAATATGCACAGCCCATCTTGCCACCAAAATGAACAGGATATTTTTGAGGATAATGGAGATGCAGCCAGAGAAAGATTAGTGTAGTAGGCATAAACTGAAGTGGAGGACCCCTGTAAACATCAGGAAATGCTTTTTAATGTGAGGGTGATTGAGTATATGAGCAGGTTGCCTAGGGAGACTGTGGAGTCTCCCTCCTTAGAGATGCTCAGAAGTCATCTGGACGTGCTCCTGGCTGGCTCTCAGTGGCCCTGCTCTAGCAGGGGGTTTGGGCCAGGTGTCCTCTGGAGATCTCTATCAGCCTCAACCAAGGCAAGGGTGACTCTATCTCTAACTGTCTTTCTCTTGATAGAAGAAACTAGATACTTATTTTAAGTAGGGAAACTCTTCTGATAAGAAACAATAATTTATCAGACTTAAAGCAACTGCTCAGGAGAAAATAAAAGACAAATGGTTTGACCTGGAATATATCTGAGAGTCCCCTTAGGATGTTTGTGGCAGGCCATGAGTTTTGCAGGGGAACACTTGAGGATTACAGTATCAGTCAATAGCTCTTTTGAAGAAACCTATTAAGGCTACAGTATTTGGATAGCACAGATAGTTGTTAGCTCATCTAAGTTACAAAGGTTTGTTTTACTTGTTTCTATTTGCCTGCCTTTATATTTGCCTGCTTTTGCAACTCTCAAGACCACTGATCTCACCAATGGTGTCTGTGTTCTAAATTCTGAAAATAAGAAATGTCAAGGCTAAAAGTACTGATTAAATTGTACCACAGGCATGGTGTGTTTAAATCAGACCATCCTTTTTAACTATAGAATATCAGTGAAATGCAGGATGGGATTAAAAAAAATAATAAAATAAGTGCTGAACAAAAGGTCAAGCTGGAAAACTATAATTTTGCCATTCCCTGTTTGTTCCAAGCTGGTGACTGTGGCTGTAGCAGTAGCCCACATTTGTCCTGCTCTTTCAGTGGGATTTAGAATTCATTTTCAGTAGTGCTTTAAATGGATAGGAAAGATTATGGTGTACTGTTCAGCAACTTTGTTGCTTCACACTGAAAATATTTGTATTTCTGTGGTGAATGAAGTTACTCCTGTGTAACTTTGGAATAATATTAAGAATAGCAGTATTGCTGGTCAAAGAGCTTACCAGCACATTGCTTCGTGTTTTTCCTCCGCTTGTTCAAAGTAAAATGTTTTTTAATGCTTCATTTGGATTCTCTTATCACATCTGTCCTGGCCTGTGCTTCACCTGTTGGCCTGGAGTTGTCAGAATATGAATGTTGGTGGATCAGAGCAACAAGCGGCTGGAGCACTCAGCTATTATTCAGACCTTCTGAGGAGAATGGAAATCTGAATGCATATAGCTTTTTAAAAGTCAAATAGGACTCTATACTGAGCTAAAGAATGCATATTTTAAAAAAAAGAAAAAAAACCCACAACCTCACAGTGGTTTTAGAGAAATTTTAATTTCCAGTGTACCTTTGAGCATCAAGCTTAGGATAAGTTATTGTGATAATACAATACACAGTGTTGTGAACACCAGTGCCTTCACTGTGCCAGCTCTCATAATGAGAATTTCATTGTTTGGGGAGAGCAGTCTCCTACACTCTAGACAAAAGTGTAATTACTTTTGAACGATGTGGAATGTGCTCGGTTTAATAGCATGAAGAATAGATTCACGAAGATTCAGATAAAGCTAGCTTGGAAGCCATATGTGCAGTGTGGCAGTATGAAATTGTTAGCAGGCACCATAATTATAACACACACACACACACGCGCGCGCACACACAATTTCACAGTTTAAACTATAAACTGTTGTTTTTGTAAGAGATAGGCCTAGCTGAACAGGAGTAGTTCAATTAAAATAAACCGGAAACAGTGGTAAGTTTGCCTTTGTCTGGTGTTCTTTCCTTCCTCTCTTAGTGTTAAATTGATATTTATAAGATTATGAAATTCCATTGTTGCAAATATTGTTATAAATGTCATCACAATACTGGCGCGTGGAAGCAGTTTCCACAGATACAATTTTAGGCTTTTACCAGAGTTTGATCTTTACACTTGTGCCATTTCAGGGAATTACTATGTGGGCTGTTAGGAGGGGGAACAAATGAAAAAGAATCAATCAGGATCCATCACAGAGCTGTAGAAGTTGCTGCTGCATTGTTTGGTCCAGACCCTGGGAGGCTCTCTGCAGTCCTTAAGAATCTGCTGCAATGGAGCCAGAAACAGCTTTGATAACTCTCCTGTCTGCCTGACAAGCATCGTGCATTCAGGTTAGGCTGATCTGCTTGTCCTCCTTGTCCTGATCCATATTCTCCGAGAGCTCGCAGCCTGTCCTATCTATGGAAGTCATGCTTACATTACCTGCTTGAAGTGCCGGTCCTGTCCAGGGCACATCAAGGAACCAAAAAGGTGTCTGCATTCTTCAGGTGAGTCAGGGATCAAAGCCATGGTGCAAATCAGGAGGATTTATGGAAGTTTCCCTCTGTTTATTGAACCACCATCTTAATGCAGTGACTTTTGCATTCTTGTAGCCATGGAAAACCAGGGTACGTACATTATTCCCAACAGAAATCAATGGGCAGAAACACCTACTGA